CCCTGCATCGGCAGGCGGACTCTCAACCACTGCACCACCAGGGAAGCCCTGAATAAAAGATTTTTAAACTTAACATTACACTCTCATTCTACAAAATGAGTGGGTCATCCCAGTTAGTTAATGCTGTTTCTAAGGAAAACAGTTATAGAACATGTTGCTATGATAAAATGCTTCTAGCATAAGCCCTATACATTATAGTCCTGCAAAATGGAGAATTTTTCTCTCTCTGTCTCATTCTCACTCCCTCACTCTTGCTTTCTCTGTTGTCATTATCTGGTAACTTGCCAGGGAAATTTTTCTTTTTACATTATTCTTGGGCCTTGAAGGAGGAGGAATGATATCTCTTGCAAGAGTAATTTTTAAAAAATTGAAGAACGGAGTGGTTACTTTTTCAAGCTTATACGATAATTAAGGTCAAATCCTAACAAATCCTGTTTCTTAACCCCAAACACTTGACTTCTAGTTCCCGTTTCATCATTTGAATGCCCATGGCATTCAAATTATAATTAGTTCAGTTGGGACTTATCCATACTATAGAATTCTTTGTAACCAAGTAGTACTTAGAAAGGTTTAGAATTTATTTTCCCTTTTCAAAGCATCAGGGAAATAATTTCCAACTCCAAATCTAAGAATTCAGTTTGAAAGATGATATATACTTTTACCTCAGCAAAAATGGAAGCTGGAGTTTGGAACATAGATGTTTAAATCATGACTCTTGAAATGAGTTATTTACCATATTATTAAGAAGCAATAAATGATGAAATAATATAGTAAATAAATCCGTTTAAATTAAAGAAGGAAATTCTTCTCAAGGCTTGTAAATGGCATTTTTCTTTTTGATTTATATTGTAGAATCTCCAAATTTTATAAAATTACCATTTTACCCCATTCTGGGCATAACACTCATAAATAATCCTAGCTAAAATAAAGCACTGGATTTAAGGTATTAATATAAATTCAAAATCCCTTAAAATATTTTTTTCTAGTCTGAAAGTTTTGTTTTCACTAGTGAAGGAGTATTTTCAGTTTACATCTTCAATTTATCTCCAAAGCACTGAACTTTCCTTTTGAGAATTCACTTTATTGTGCCTTGAGGGCGCTGGGTTTTTCTGATTGTGATCGTCTACATCCTTGATGAAGCCGTGCTGCCAACAGTTGTGAGGTGTCTGAGACTTTTCACCCAACTTTCCAGCCAGCAAAAGAGGTAACCAGAGTGTCAAATGTCACATCAGTTCCCCAAGTCCCAGTTCCCCAGGCATTCTTGACACACCAGTAAGATGGGTAGGAGCAGTGGAGACTCGCCCCACACAATCAAATAAGGATGTTAGCACTGTGAAAAAAAAAGAGAGCGTCAGGGCTTTAAAAAAAGAAACGTACCTCAAAAACCAATTTCACTCTTGATAAATGGAATCATTTTTTAGCAAACAACGCCTTGTTCCAAATTTGTTAAAGCTAGGTCAATATTCTTCAATTTCTGTGTCAAATGCCAGTGTGAAAAAATGTTAGTGCCATGGGTAATATATGAATTAGTGAATGTAACAGCTTGAGTGTTTTTGCTTAGTAAAATGCAAAACATATGATTTTTTTTTTTTTTTTTCCTGCGGTACGTGGGCCTCTCACTGTTGTGGCCTCTCCCGTTGCGGAGCACAGGCTCCGGACGCGCAGGCTCAGCGGCCATGGCTCACGGGCCCAGCCGCTCCGCGGCATGTGGGATCTTCCCGGACCAGGGCACGAACCCGCGTCCCCTGCATCGGCAGGCGGACTCTCAACCACTGCGCCACCAGGGAAGCCCAAAACATATGATTTTTAAGATAACCTTTAACTTTTTAAAATTTGGTTAAAATAAAAAGAAATGAATGTCATAATCTCATCTGCAGAATGGACTACTGTTAGTATGTCTTCCGTATCATATTTATTTCTTTTTCATCCAGATTTTTATCATATGTTTCTGATATTTTCTGTTGCAATCATCTGGAAACCCTCCTCTTTTTCCCTTCTTTCCTTTTATTGTCACCTGTCCCTCTCTCTCTACCAATCCTATCAATATCTAGGGATATTGTTATTTTCTAGAAAAAAGTCACAAATAAGTTTTTAAATTGAAGTTGCTAAATAAGTAGTGTGGCAAATTTATGAGAATAATTACCCTTTTTCTTTACGGATTCATTTATTTAATAAATATTTATTGAGCAACTACTATGTGTCAGGGACTGTTCTAAATGCTGGGGATATAGCAGAGAATAAAACATAAAAAAAAATCGATAAGCCAATGTAATTCCAATATGTGAAATTCAATAAAATATAATTATCACCTAATTGTCCACATTGGCAAGAGTGCCCACTGCCTTTACTCTGTAGTTTCAGGAGTGAAATTGATTACGTTTTAATCCTGCTAGGGGTTAATGATTACCCAAAGCTCAAGAGTCTGTTTCTTACCTAGAGAATGTCTAGTCTTTGGCTTGAGGTGTGACCGTTTGTACCTGGAATGAGCAATAGGTGGCGATGTTAGCACATAGGACCTCAGGAGTAGTGTTGCTACTGATGCTTTTCTTTTTCTTTTTTTAAATTGAAGTATAGGTGATTTACAACATTATATTATTTTCAGGTGTACAACATAGTGATTCAGCGTTTTTGAAGACTATACTACATTTAAAGTTATTACAAAATAATGGCTATATTTGCCTGTGCTGTACAATATATCCTTGTTGCTTATCTGTTTTATACATAGTAGTTTGTATCTCTTAATTTCATATTCCTATCTTGCCGGTCCCCCTCCATCTCCCCAGTGGTAACCATTGGTTTTTTTCTCTGTATCTGTGAGTCTGCTTCTGTTTTGTTATATACATTCCTTTGCTTAATATTTTAGATTCCACATATAAGTGATAGCATAGAGTATTTGTCTTTCTATCTCTGACTTATTTCACTAAGTATAGTACTCTCTACATCCATCTACATTGATGTAAATGGCAGACTTTCATTCTTTTTATGGCTGAGTAGTATTCCATTATATATACATATCACATCTTCTTGATCCATTCATCTGTTGATGGACACTTAAGTTGCTTCCATATCTTGGATATTGTAAATAATGTTGCTATGAACATTAAGATGTGTGAATTTTTTCAAAACACTGTTTTATTTTCTTTGGATATATACCCAGGAGTGGGATAGCTGGATCATGCAGTAGTTCTATTTCTGGTTTTTTATTATTATTATTATTTTACGTCTTTATTGGAGTATAATTGCTTTAAAATGGTGTGTTAGTTTCTACTTTATAACAAAGTGAATCAGTTATACATATACATATGTTCCCATATCTCTTCCCTCTTGCATCTCCCTCCCTCCCACCCTCCCTATCCCAACCCTCTACGTGGTCACAAAGCACCGAGCTAATCTCCCTGTGCAATGTGGCTGCTTCCCACTAGCTAGCTATTTTACGTTTGATAGTGTATATATGTCCAAGCCACTCTCTCACTTTGTCAGAGCTTACCCTTCCCCTTCCCCATATCCTCAAGTCCATTCTCTAGTAGGTCTGTGTCTTTATTCCTGTCTAACCCCTAGGTTCTTCATGACATTTTTTTTTCTTCAATTCCATATATATGTGTTAGCATACGGTATTTGTCTTTCTCTTTCTAACTTACTTCACTCTGTATGACAGACTCTAGGTCTATCCACCTCATTACAAATAGCTCAATTTCATTACTTTTTATGGCTGAGTAATAT